ACCGTGTCAGAAGCGAAGGGTGGGTCAGTGATAAATGACTCTGTTGAAAAGGAAATCGGCTCTCTGGCATGGCCGGGCTATTCTCCTCCCGGGTTGGGTTTCAGGACCCCCTAAGATCGGAGCGGCTCGGTTTTCACGAAAAAAAAAGAGAGAGAGAGCGAGCACACATCCCACCGGGCTCTGACGAGCTCTACCTCTGGGGAGGGAATAGGTGGGTGGGTGGAGGGGCTGGAGGGATCCGGGCCATCCCAATTGTCGCCACGGTGCAGCTGCATCTATCACAACAGCGGTGGGACTATTTTTTTACAAAAGCCTCAGACTTAGTGCCAAGGCAGCAGTCTGGGCTGAAAATCATCGCTGAAAGCTGAAAGGCGAACACGTTTCTATTTGTGACATTACTACAGCACTTACACGTCTCGCAGAAAACCCAACCCTACGGCCTGACATCTGCCAAGTGCGTGTTAGAAAGGAGAAAAGGCCGATTTCAACGCCCCCCCCCCAACTCTTCATCTCTTCAGCATCCCCACCACCAGCACCTCCTCCTCTTACTCCCCCTGTGCCCTCCTTCTTTCTTTTCTTAGTCTCTCTTACAGCCACTCACAGGCAGGGTGGCACTGTTATCCAGTGTTGCATAGAGTAAAAGTACAAGTATCTTACCAAAACAATACTTTCGTAAAAGTTATAGTCTCCTTTAGGAATATTACTTGAGTAAATGTCTTAAAGTATCTGATATTTTTGTACTTAAGTATTAAAAGTAAAAGCATTGATTTAAAATGAGCAGTTAGATTTTCTGTAAGGACATTTATTAGGAGGTGACCTCCCCAAAAACAATGCAGAAATGATTATATTGTATTAAAATTAATAATTTATGTTAAATTTAGGATGTACTAGTCTAGCTGTTTCAGTTTATATACATATATCAAACCTTTTCCCCAAAATAAAAATCTAGATGAGCGCTGCAGCCAAATACAATAACATAATCCATGAAATACAAATACTTCTTAAGTACAGTCCTTTTATTTTAATGATTATGTCCTGCTGGAGTGTGACATGATTTGTTTGTGTACAAACTAATACGCTATCAGAATTTTATATATTTGTTCTTCTCATTCAAACAATTAAATTCACTCTATCAAGGAGGCACAATTTATATGGAGAGTATTTATTTTTTTACAATAACAAGCTGGAACGAAAACAAGCAAAAATGAAATAAAAGTAACGACTTTCTATTTGTCTTTTTTTAATGTAAGAAGTAAAAAGTACAGATAATTGTGTGAAAATGTAAGAAGTAGAAGTAAAAGGTAGGCTGAAAATAATTAATCAAGTAAAGTACAGATATCCAGAAATTCTACTTAAGTACAGTAAAGAAGTATTTGTACTTAGTTACTTTACAACTCTGCTGTTATAATTACACAGGCAGGATTTATTAAGTCAAGGTCTATGGTTAAAAAAAAGAGGGCGTCTGTCAATACCTGTGGGAAACACTCAGTCAGCCGTCGTCCTCTCACGGGTGCTCACAGTCTCATTAGCTATGCACTTATCAGACACAGATCACAGACGTGACGCAACCTCAACGGAATCTGGCTACAGGACTTTCATTAGAACAAAGTCTGCACCTGCAAACTAAGGGCGGCGGAGGGTTGTTGTGTGTCCGTCGGCCAACGTTTTCGTCCCAACCAGAGCTCCCGTCAGGACACGCTTTGCACACGTGAAACTACGGGAAGAAAACAGCTCACTTCTTTTCACTCGCTCGCCTTCACAAGTGTTTGTGTCTTTACCAGCGTCAACACTCGGGTCTCTGTCGCGTCTCGGGTTTCTGAGTCGGCGTGAACGCTCTAAACTTATGTTGCACCAGCGATGCGCTAGGACAAACAGATGGAGAGAGGAGAAACTTTACGCCGAGAGAGTCCAGAGAATTATGGCCTGACCCCAGAACTTGTTCTACAGTTACCATTCCTTTCATTAGTAGTTTCACAAGCCAAAGCAAACACACACACAAGCACACTTAAACCTGAGAAATCAGAGAGTGGGCCTGCTGATTTTGAGTGTGTGTGTGTACACACGCAAATGCATATAAGCAGAGTTAAGCGATGGCTACCAGTAGGGATGTCCYGATCCAGATTTTTTGGCTCCTGATMCWATCCGATTTTTTWAATGATTAGTCTTTCCGATMCCSATCYGATACCAATCYGAKAGCTTTATTTCTTTATTTCTTTCCAWGTGGCAAGGTTGGTAACTAAAGGAGCCCTGCTGWTCCCACCAYGACAAACATCCAGTTAGCAGATTTTACAAGATGCAGTTTCAGCATCATCGTTTTCCATTGAAAAGTGTTCCCACACTGTGGACATGGTTGCATACTTGTGTGCGTCTTGACTTCTTWACGGCACTTGTAAAGCACGATGATGCTGAAAACTGTCGCCAAAACTGGATCGGCCCAATCACATGACTAAATCCGATTCTACCCGATTTTCAAAAAACGGCCATATCTGTCACCGATACTAAGTATCTGATCGGGACGTCCCTAGCTACCAGTCTGTATTTCTGATCCTGCAAACTGTTGCCTTCACTCCACTTCAGCTCCATAACTGACTTTATTACATTCATGTTAAAAAGGTGAGCAAAGGATGAACGAGGTGTTTGTGATGACCTTAGCAACTTTTCAAAAACAGTTAACACACTGCATTTATTTAGCAAAAACACAGCACAACCTACACATTTTCACTAAAACAGCCAGTGTTGACTTCCTGTTCATTTGATCAAGCATTTCAACTCTCTGGAACTGTTTCAACAGCTCCAGGCCCCAAACTTGTGGTAAAACTAATCGCCAGCCACAAAAGGAAGGAGGTTTGTATTTCCACAGCTGGGGAGRCTCTCCCTCTCTCGTGTTTTCTCGGCTGTTTACGTGGCCGGCTGCCCTCGGTTGCYAAGAGCACTCAGACCTGACCCAGGTACGCAGGCCCATTTGTCACCTGCAGCAGAAAATTGAGTTACGGCACAACCAAAGGCGAGCAGCTCTGCGTAATATCAAGTTGATTACATCAAAGTGGTGGCAAACCTCGTTGGGCCGGGCACCCCGAGCTTGTCATCTCCAATCACGGGGCCTGTCAGGACTCCATCAGCCTTACGGCTAATTGGACCAACGCTAATGAAGCAGGCAAAACAAGTTTTCTACCGTGGAGGGAGAAACCCTCTCAGACAGGAAAGGGGGGGAGTGTGTGCACATGMGAGAGTGTGTGTTCCAGAGACAATGAGGGAGCAAAGCGTGTCTGCGTGTGTGTGTTGTCGGGGCGTGTGTAGATTTTTCATGCAAGTCTCAAGGTTGCAGTGGGCTGACTCTCCCCCTAAGTCCCTAATCAAGGCCCATCATCTGTCATCCTTTTCTTTGCTCTCTCTATCACCATGCTCTGTGCTGCAATCAATTCATCATCACCCTTTGTGTGCCACTGAACAGTTGACAACTTTATAACTTGCAGCTGCACAGGGCTGACTGACAGGGGTGGAAGGGGAGCATGAAAAAAAATGAAGAAATGAATAGATGAATGAATGAACAAAGGAGCGCGGTTGCGAGGAGAAAAAGTTGTTTTCTAAAAACACAAAAACCGATCCGTATTACAGCCTTTTATTCTCTTTCGTCAACAGAGAAAACAGCAGTGTGGCGGGGAGGAGAGAGTGGAGAGAAGAAGAGGACATAAAAAAAAATAAAAACCATCCTTCTCACTGATCTGAAATCAGAAAGCTTTCAGTCATTCTTTATGTGCTCCCCGCGGCCACTCTGAGCCAGTGAGCATGTACATTAGGCTGGGGCATTTTGATGAAATAAAAGCCCAGGCCAGCTTATGGCTAAACAGAATGGGAGCACTCACTCAGCCTGTCTCTGATTGACCATTAAAGCCATTGATGAATGGGCCTGTCAGGGGAGAGACAATTAAATCAAACATGAAACAAAGCCGTTGTGACGGCCCAGTCTGACAGAGCAAACCCATTCCTCCCCTCCATTACAAAGCACACGGCTCCTTTTACAACCCCTAACCCACTCCTCCCGCCTCCTCCCACCCACTGTATGCTTGTTACTGTGTGTGTGCTCAAAGTGAACAAGTGTGCACATGGAAGTGTGATGTTCCCTTTTGGAAGAGTGTGTGTCTGTGTATGATTTCTCACTGTGAAACCACTTTGCCCACCCCTCCTTCTCCTCATGTTTCACTTTTTTCTTTTTCTTTTTTTTTGTGAGTCACTTGACCATCAGTGCTACAAAGTGTGTGTGAGAGACGCAGAAAGAGTAAAAAAAAAAAAAAAAAAGTACACAGGGCTTTTCAAAGTGGTTTAAACGTGACGTCAGAGGCCTGCAGCACATGGTGGGAAGTGATTTTCTGATGCAAATCGGGAAGGATCAGATCAAAGCCGCGTGACAGCCAATCAATCAACCGTCAAATCAAACGTGGCAACTGTCGATTATGGCTCCTTCCAGCCCACGAAACCCCCATTGTCTGCACTCAACTTGTTTATCTTATCCTAAAATGGAGAGAGAGGGAAAAAAAGAAGAATCCCCTAAGAGGTAGATTTCTTTTCTTTCCCCTCCCCTCCCAGTGTAAAGAAGTTATGCGCTTGGATCAAAAATGCGCACAAAAGCCCCTTTACGGCACGCCTCAGGCGTTCAAAAACATCCACCGATCGTTTACTCACGACATTTAACCCGATTCACAGTGTTTAGATTTCACTTCGGAACACGGAGGACTGAAAGTTTACAGCTGCCGAAGTCATCCGAGAGCGAAAAACAGCGAACAACAAAGTCTTTCTCTGCGTTTTGTCAGAGTGAGGAAAAGTGACGAAGCGCATCGGCGGACAGAGCAAAAGCCATAAAGTGGAAACGGAAATGCGGAGACTGGAAATTGAGCTCCATAAAAACAACTGTTATCAGCCCCGCGGCTTGGACACACAACGCTTGTTTTTACGCGTTTTTTTATTTTATTTTTATTTTTCATTTTCCAGTCGGATTCACGTACCTGCTGCGCGCTTGGGCGCTTCTTGTTTCCTCCGTGGCATTTTAAATGTAGGTTTCCGTCCAAATCGTTCCTTTTTTTTTTTAATTCATAAAGCTACCTCCTCCTCGTCGTATCCGGGAAGATCCACCTCTACTCAAAAGAAGAAAAAAAATTACGCCTTCGTGTAGTAGACTGCACAACATCGGAGAGTCCGACGGAAAGGAAAACTAAAAATCATCGTCAGGAAATCGCAGCCGGGAGGAGGGAAAAGTCAGCAGGAGGAGAAATAAAAAGAGAAACATGGATATATATTTTTTTAAAAGGGGGAGGTTTGTTTTTAGTTTTCGGTGCGGATCGCGGTGGGAGCCAGCGTCCAGCTCGGCTGCCTGGTCTGGCAACAGGCAAAGTTGAGGGATAAGAGAGATGAACGCGTCACTCACAGCAGGAGAGAATGGGCAAACCCACCGCTCCGTTAACTCTTTACGTGTCAGAGAGGGGCGGACACCTACCTCTCTGCACTGTCCCCCTGCCAACATCAACACGATCCTGACCGAGCCAAAGGTGGAGATGGAAAAACTAGTTATCATATAAATAATATATTTAGATTTTTAAAGGAGAATATCAAAACATTATCATAGTGCAGTTTAAAGCAGTGTTTCCCAAACTTTTTGTTTTCTGACCCACAAACTATCCATGGCAAAACCTTGTGACCCCAAATATTACTGGTCTGAGTACACGAACTTCGTTAATAACCCTAAAAACACAGGATTTTTGACAGTCTAAACAGCTTATACACAAATATAAATACTTATTTTTACTTATTTTGTGTTTTTGTAATAATTATAGGGGAAAATATTGCATCMGCAATTATTTTATTACCCTTTAAATTGATGTCTGGAGATTATCCAAGGTGCTTCATGACCCATAATTGGGTCCCAAGCCCAACT